TATTTTTATTTAATTCAAGCATTAATTATTTTCTAATACATACAATGTGATCAATTAGTTTATTATTAACATTATCAGTATAATAGTATGAATCATATGAATGCCTTTTGGGTATTCTTGTTCTGATCACCTCTTGGTTTAAACTAATGTCATTGTTATGGCGTATTTGTTTGATTTGATCATGGTCATATACGAATCGCGGTCCCAATATAATTGTGGTAATTTTGGGAAATCGGCGAACCATATCGAGTACATACAAAGCCATTGAATATCTCATGCATACGCCCTCATATAGCGATGACGACCTGATGGCAAATGACCGCAAGTGCTTGAATTGGCCCAATTTGGGCACAGTATGCGGCCACGTATGGCCACCTCTGTATGTGATGTTCAAGTGCTGTAATCGGGGTAAGTGTTTGTCCATATCCACGAAGAACTCATTGCTAATCATTCCGTTTCGTGGACTCAAACGCATTGTCAATAGCCTTAAACGCCGACAATTAGCCAATTGCTGGGACCTAATCATTAATGTAGGCACCGGTGAGTTATCACCCCATCTGTTGCCGTATATATTGAGTGTCAATCCCTTCAGACGTTTGAGACAATTGATGGCCCGAAACACACTGTCAACGGATTGAGAGCCCGTAAAGCGTATGCAAAGCTCCAGTAGTTCAATGTCTGGACACTTCTCGAACAACTCTCGCAATGGATTCGTGACATTACTGTTGATAACTAGCGTCCAATTGAGAAACAATTTCTTGAGATGTCTTAAGCGACCGACGGATCGGAAAAATGCGGACACAATTGGATTGTCGATGAAGTTTAGAATATGGGATGAATGAGGAAAGTGTTGCCCACGCCATACATCCGTCACTTCAAGTGATTGCAAACTATTGCTATTTTTATAACATATTTGCCACAATTTCTCAATACAAGTCTCGCGTAATAGAAGTGTAGTTTTAAAGGCCATGTGTTTGATTTGATTGACACAAATCGGTCTCAAATCGTCCAAAGTTTTAGTCGCGTCTCTCATGTCATTCATATCCAAGAAGTTTACTTTCGGACAGCTTTTCAATACAATACTATTGTAAATGTGGTCCGAATTGAATGCTATTTTGCGTAAATTGGGTCCAAATCTGTGGCAAAAGTCGCTGAAAATCTCTTCCGAGAGATCATCAAAACTGGCCTTAAATGCACTCAAATTATTGCAATACTTAATAATTAGCTGAAACACGACATCGCTGTCAGTCTTCGGGATGTCTTTCACTTCAATATCGGCGATAAAAACACATTTTCTGAGCACAACTTCTAGTGCCTCGACATTCACTGGTCTCGTCTCTTGTGAAACCCAACCTCTGGTCACTCCGACCACTAGTTTTGTGATTTTATTGAATACCAATCGTTGCCATTGTTTGCTAACACATTCGTAGCCAAACTTTTCACTAACTTTTAAATAACTCAATAATACTTCGCACAAATCGTCACCAAATCTGGTGAATGAGTCCCTCATTTCACACATCGATTTAGTCTTCGAGTATTTATTTGCATTCAAACTAATTGAACGCAAAATAATAACAAAAGTTTTAATTGAAACTTTTAATAATAATAATTATTGTTGTGATCAGTAAATAACAACATCTAAAGTACTGTACAATTAGTATAGTATAGATAAACTATTCATACTAAATGTTTGTAGCATTTATTGCTATTTCTTTAAATGCAAGTGAAATGCAAACAAATGAAAGCATAAGATTATAAACATAGAGCCCAACAATTATCCTAGATTTTTAAGCTTTAATGGTCAATAACCCATGATTAAGGTGATTACATCCAGGCTCAAAGTAAATCGCTATTTATTTAATGTATTGATTGTTTAGCCACAAGACTTGATCCCTCAAAGCCATCACTTTATCCTCAATTGTGCGGAACTATTGCTTTAATTATTATTATTATTTTCATTTATTCATTGTTTTCAAACATGATTTTTAGTCTTAATTAGTTTTAACTATAATTTTCTGCATTTTAAATTTACATAATATTTATCACTTTATTGTAAATGTATTATATTATATTAATTATAAAATTTATTTTACTCTTGAGTTGTACGCAATGAAAACAATTAAAGATTTTAATACAATATACAGTATTTATTGGATTACAAAAGTTTTGCCATAAAAATAAATAAATGCATAAATAATTTGCATAAACATTGCATTTAAATAATCACATTTTTTGTGATACTGATTCACTTCGTATGGATTTCCGCGATTGCCGTTTGACTGAATAAATCAATTTAAATATTAATTAATTTAATTAAAACATAATGTATTTGTGAATCAATGAATACTTACAAAACCAATAGTACGCAAAACCAAGAGTTATAAGCATAAGTCCGTAGACAACAGCCAATACTAAATACAATATTTTCATTAAACCCTTTTTACATTCTTCCGGAGTCGGTGTCGGATCTGATTGTGACAAACAGTAGTCACACAACACTATTATAATGAATGCGATTATCAATTGTATGCAAAACATTGGATCAAATAATAAAGTTATTAATTTTCAATTAAATGCCTAAACACTGAATTGGTTTTCAAAATGTTTATAACTTAATAAATCTCTTAACGAGTTTACACAAAATGATTGTAATTAAAGTCGTTATAAAAACAAATGTAAATAAAACAATTGGTTAATTTTTTAATTTATTTTTAACAAATTAATTTTATGCGTGAAATATTGATTTAAATTAATTTAATAAAATTAAATAATACAATTGAATATTGAAACATTCACCATTTGACCAACACGTGAAACAACACTTGGATCCGGGCATTATTAAGTTTTTGTACGGACAGTACGTCAATCATCCGGGTATTTATGTCCGCCAGACGTTGAATAGCGATTTGTCCCAAACATTCACGTAATTTACATTTATTTATTGGTTTATCAGTTAATTGTTTGATTGAATATTGATTTATTAGTGACTTTTATGCCACACATCTATGCGAAGGAGATTTGATTATTCAAATCGATAGCAAAGAATTGAAATTTTTCGCCGATTTTGAGGACATTATCCGAGGAAAGGATGAAATGACGGCAACTGTTGTCCAAAATTGCAATGCATTTGAAATGAATGTAAAACGAGAACCGATTTATAATTTTTATTTCATGTGATTATTTTGTTTTATAATTATTTATTTATTCAATTATTTCAATATTTCTCATATTAAGTGAAATTGTTATAATAAACTATAAGTTTTGTTTACTATAATTACCAAGGTAAAAATCTAGTAAATATACAATTCATATGACAGTTGTAAAAATTTTACTTTTGTTTTAAAATCATTTGAAATTATAGCACAAATGTTGTTGCATTTGTTGATTGAGTCCATTGAAGGGTGTTTTGAAATGAGAGGTGAAAACAGCGGTAAACTCTCGGTAATAATTTTACAATGAATTAAAAAATTGCTATAAATTAATACAAAACACAATTAAGTCAAACACTACTACAAACAGTAGTCACACAACAGTATTATAATGAATGCGATTATCAATTGTGTGCAAAACATTACATCTATTAAATAATTTAAAGAAATAAATATTTTACTAAATATTACACGAACTAAATTAAATGAATTTCAAAAATATTTCTATCAAATTTTACATCTAATTAATTTACATTTAATTTACATTTTTAAAACAACTTTATTCATTACAATACTTGAGTAAATAATTTACAACAACTGAATCTTTTTCTATATAAATGACATTCAAATTGTTTGGCAAACTTAGATTGAGTTCATCCACAGATGTCTTCAGGTTGTGGCTAAACACAGCTTCAATGGATCTGTTGGGCTGTTGTCTACAAACATCTATGCACTGACAGATGGCATCGGCGGTGATCTGATCCGTGTCCGAGACATCGATGCGATTGATTTTCCGACAGTTTGTGATCAACCACTCGAACTCACTGTCTGTCACTTCTTCGTTGCCTTTCAGCGACAACTCAGACAATCGTCTCATGTCTTTAATCCATACCAAACACGCCATTAGAGTATCGGATTCTTCAACAAGAAATTCACACCAATTGAGAGACAGTTTGCGGAGTTTCGGGATATTCTTTGCGATTGAATACACACAGTCTTCTTCGAGATCTCCATTAGTAATGTTCAGTGCTTTCAGTTTACGACACTCTCTGAGCCCTTCGACGGTCAGGTAATCAATGTCTGAACAATTGTCGGACAGCGTTAGTGACAGCTCTTTCAAGTCTGCCAGACGTGAGATCGACTCAAAAAGTGGTTGCAAATCAAACTCCTGGTGGCGGTCGACCACTCCTGACCGCACATCTATTGTCAATACTCTTATTTGTTTGAAACAAACGACAATCTTATCCATACAGTTCGGGTCGAAGCGACTGATGGCCAGTTCGCGCAACTTATTCGCTCCTTTCAAACCTAACTGACAAATAGCTCTCGCGTTAAACAAATCGCCCGACGTTTCGATGGCTTTGACGCCGGTATTCATGCGTACAAAAACATCGCCGCAATATTGGCCGGCGATCGGAGCGTTCAGTTTGAAGGACACGATACTCGGCAACCGTCTCAACAGTAACTCAATGTCCAACTCGTCGATCGTTATCATGCCGTGTGCCGTGACGTGTAATTCTCTCAGTTCGGGACATTTCTTGGCCACGAGTCGCGCCTCCGAGCGTGTGATCTGAAGCTTATTGAGGCTATGGATGGTTAGGAACTGGCAATCGGGTCCACACTTCTGGCACAACATTTTGATGCAATCGGTGTGAACACTGCGGATGACAGCGTTTAGAGACACAACGCGTGCATATTTGGCCACAATCTGTCCGATCGCCCGACGCATAGGTATTTTTGCCACACATTTATACCAAGAGATTGAATGCGGGTTTTGAATCGCTATTTCTCCCACATTCACGACAATACCGTTCCCTAAAGCCATACTCTCTTCAATTATAACCGTTTTCTTTGTGGCGAATATTGCGGTCACGAGTGCTCGCCATTGAGTGCACACTCTTTCGGCCATTAATCGCGATTTGAGGTCCAATTTGGAGAGCATTTGGTCCAGAAGTTCATTACACAGCATATCATTGATGTTTGGCTGCACTCCTATGGTCTGCACCGGTATGTCATCTGAAGCACCGGACGGACCCGATGTCGATATCAATGGCTCAGCTCTTTGATCTGTTTTGATCTTCTTTCTGCTCTTTTTGGTTGAATTTGATTTCATGATTGAGTTTAAAATAACTTAATTTGAATTTTTCTGTTATATAACTGCTATTTGATGTAAAATGTAAATAAATTCAAACATTTATTATTATTATTACTATTATTGAAACGTTTTATTGGAAATAATAATTTTATAGTTTATAATAAATGAATTAAATTAGAAAAATAGTTAATCAATATATTGTTCAATACATGTAATTGATAAAATAAAAAATATATAAATATTAAAGCCTTTAATTCAATATATTTATTAAACTATAAATGTTTTGCCATAAAATAAATAAATGCATAAATAATTTGCATAAACATTGCATTCAAATAATCAAAATCGTTGTGATTGTGATTCACTTCGTATGGATTTCCGCGATCGCCGTTTGACTAAATAAATCAAATATAAAATTAATTAATTTAATTGAAACAATGTATTTGTAAATCAATGAATACTTACAAAACCAATAGTACAATGAGATGAGAGTTATGAGCATAAGTCCGTAGACAACAGACAACACTAAATACAATATTTTCATTAAACCCTTTTTACATTCTTCCGGAGTCGGTGTCGGATCTGATTGTGACAAACAGTAGTCACACAACACTATTATAATGAATGCGATTATCAATTGTATGCAAACCATTGGATCCAATAATAAAGTTATTAATTTTCAATTAAATGCCTAAACACTGAATTAGTTTTAGAAAATGTTTATAACTTAATAAATCTCTTAACGAGTTTACACAAAATGATTTCAATTAAAGTCGTTATAAAAACAAATGTAATAAACAAATGGTCAATTTTTAAATTTATTTCTAACAAATTAGTTTTATGCGTGAAATATTGATTTAAATTAATTTAATAAAATTAAATAATACCAATAATACATAGAATATTTAAACATTGTATGATTTACATTGAAATGTAATAGATTTAGATAATAAATAAAATAATAAAACAAATCTAAGCAAAGCTTTATTAATAAGTTTATTAAAATACAACATGGTCATAATTTTTTTAAAATAACCTGATTTAGTAAACGTGAACAAAATCACAGCCAAAATATGTATGTTTTATAACTCTTAGATGATTGTCATCTAATGTCATATTTTTATAACAACACACAAGATTAGGTATTACTTTAAATGAACAAGTTTGAGCATTATCATGTTCATTACGTATTTGTCTTATTTCATCATGATCAAATACGAAGCGCTTTCCATATATAATACCGGTAATTCTTGGACAGTGACTGACCATCTGTCGCACAAATGTCCACATTTCTTGGTCCGTAAATCTTATCATTGAATTCATGTTAATTGACCGCAAGTGCGAGAGTTGGCTCAATGCGGGCACTGTATGGCTGTCGCGGAGATCAATATCGTTGATATTCAAGTGTTGCAATCGGGGTAAGTGTTGGCCGATATCCACGAAGAACTGGCCGCTAAACTCGCGATTTAGTGACACAAAACGCATTGTCAAACGCCTTAATTGCCGACAATCGGCCAATTGCTGGGACCTAATCATCAGCTCATTGTTGTCCAAATGACGGCCGTATATACTGATCGTCAGACCCTTTAATTTCTTAAGACTATTGATGGCCAGAAATAACTGGTCAACGGATCCCGTGTTTTTGCACCGTATGTTAAGCACCAGTATCTCAATGTTTGAACACTTCTCGCACATCTCTCGCAACGGATTTGTGACATTATCTTCAAGAGTTATCGTGGAGTTGATCACCAATTGCTTGAGATTTATTAAGCAATGGATATATCGGGAAAATGTGGTCACAATTGAATCGTCGAAGGATTCGATGGTATCGGGAGTCACCATCTGTTTCCCACCAAAAGCGGTCACTTTAAGCGATTGCAAACAATTCATATATTTGTTAATTATTTTCGCCAATTCTTTGACGTAAGACTTCTGCCGAAGAATTGTATAATCAATAGACAAGTGTTTGATTTGATTTTCACTCAAACCTTCAAAAGTGTTTGTCGTTTGTCTCAATCGATTCATGTCTAAAAAGTCTAGTTTTGGACAACTTTTTAATAAAATATTATTGTAAATGTGGTCCGAATTAAACCCTAGTTTTTGTAAATTGGGTTCAAATCTATGGCAAAAGTCGGTAAAAGTCTGTTCCGAGAGATCATCAAAACTGGCTTTAAATGCACTCAAATTATGCCAATACTTGACAATCAGTTGAAACACGACTTCGCGATCAGTATTCGAGATGTGATTTACTTCAATAGTAGAGATAAAAACACATTTTCTGAGCGCCACCTCCAGAGCCGTCATATTCACGGGTCTCGTCTCCTGTGAGACCCAACTTCCGGTCACTCCGACCACCAGTTTTGTGATGCTATTGAATACCAATCGTTGCCATTGTTTGCAAACACATTCGCAGCTAAACTTTTCACTCGCAGTCAAATAACTCAATAATAATTCGCACAAATCGTCACCAAATCTGGCGAATGAGTCCTTCAGTTCACACTTGGGTTTAGACATAAGGTTTTTAGTAAAATTATTTCTTAATAACATTAGTAATTATTCAACAAATAGGAATTTTATGATAAAATTAATAGCAAAACCCTTACAGTATGTTAAGTAAAATTTACTAAAATTTACATTTAATGTAGTTAGTATGGTTAGTTAATGACTGGCAGGTCTAACTGCAAGCTCAAATTCAATAATGGTACTGTACTTTACATTAAATGTTTGCATAATAAATGACCATGCATTAAAATTAAATTTAAGTAAACATTTTCACTTAACAGTGGTAATTAGTTTTGACTAAATGCACTTCTATTTGACAATAATATTTTAATAATGTTGTCAATGTTTCAATTGAAATAATTAAATATAATATCATTAGTATCAATATCAAATAATACATAAGTTTTATTAATTTATAGCTGTGTTTGGTATGAAATATTTGCTTATATTTAGCATAATATAGAATTTATGTTTGCATTTAAAGATAAATTGGGTTAAAATCAATGAATTTACGAATAAAATTATAATGAAATAGATTGCAAAGAAAAATGAAAGTGATTTTTACGACCACGTATTATACAAAAATATTTTTATAAGTCATTATTATCTAGATAATAAAAGGAATACTGTAATTGTAATTAATCAATAATTATAATCATATTTATATTTACAAATTATACTTTAAACCCAGTTATAACAAATCACATATTATTATTGTGTTTTGCGAAACAAAATTTCATAAAAATTTGAATCATTATAATTTTTAAGTTTATGTAAAACTTTATTAAAATCCTTATTTTCAACGACATAAGTCTTTTCAATCGACCACTCGTTATATTTGGCCAACACTTGCCGACACTCAGGCCTGTCATCCCATATAGGAAACGACATCATTGACTGCAACATACGGTGCAAACACACAACCCATGCTTTTAGCATATGGTCACTCGGGTAGGTATTTAATGTCCTGATAAGACAAGAACATTAAATTGTAACAAACAATATACTAAAGTTATTGCTTATACAATAATACCTTTCATATAACTCGAGGTCAAATATCTCGCCCCCAATTAGAGCCAGACTATAGACATCAGATTTGTGGCCATACTTTTTATTGGCCACTTCTGGAGCCTCATACCTTAATGTGCCGACATCACAAGTATGCTTATACTTTGTCCTATAATGTTTGTCCGGATTGTGTAAAGTAGCAAGGCCAAAATCACACAGTTTAATAAAACAATTATTTTCAGCATTAGTATTATATACGATTAATACGTTATCGGGATTCAAATCCCGATGTATTATCTGAGGGCTCAACTCATGTAAATACTGGACACACTGTAAGAGCTCTTTAAATATTTCGCATGAAATGTAATACTCGTAAACATTCATCGGTTCCGCCGATTGTCTGCCAAATGCCAGCCCTTTATCCTTAAGCAGTGACCGCAGACTTTGCGGACAAAACTCCATTTGAATGTACAGTTGATTGCTATAGTCGTCGAGCCATGAGTTGTAATACTGTACCACATATTGTGAGCGCACTGTTGCCAAACTTTTTACCTCATTTAGAACTCGGTATTTGTGCTCATCACTAGTTTCTGCAATTTTGTGTTTTTACAAATAACAATGTAATTAAATTACGAATAAAAATAATTATCTAAGAAATATTACTAATAAGGCTGATCACTTTTATGGCGTACACGTTACCGTCCAATTTATGCATAACTTTATACACTGTCCCGAAACCGCCTCTACCTATTTTTTCTAATTCCTCAAACTGCTCATGGTAATAGTTTTTATTTAATTCATTATTGTAATCTGTAAATTAATTTTATAAAAGTATAAAATTTAATAAGTACATTACTTTAATATAAAATACCGGCAAATGAGTTATTGGTGTCATCAGTTAATAATGGATTGGGTTGTAATAGTGGTGAAGGAATACTTTCAGTGTTTGTATTAAATGTCTGTTTTATATCTACAACTGATTAATAATTTATTTGATTTTTAGTTTATAAATGTTATAATTTTAATTCTTACCATCACTTGACACAACATTTTTGTTTGTTATTACATTATCTACTAATTCCAACTCTTGTTCCCCATTGTGGTTAACCACAATATTTGTAGTTAAATTATTATCTGTGAAATTTATAAATTAATAATTATCATTTTAAAAGTGCGCTATATTTACCACATTTTTGCGCTGTTATACTACTTTTGCTATGACTGACCATTGGTTGAAATGATTCCTCAAAATTTTGACTATAATTACCATCACTTAACTCAACAGGAATTTTACCTTTACTATTATATGTGATTAATACAATTTCTTCATTAGGATTTTCTTTAGGATTTATTGTATTAAAAGTTGTTTGGTATTCATTCGCATAAAACTTAATAAACTTATTATAATTTGTTTCAATTATTTTGTGTTCTTTTGATATTTTATATATTTTATGGTTTATTAAAACACAAATGAAATTATTATAATTCCAGTGAATCCATGAATTAATTTGTTGTATATTTTGAAATTGATATTCAGGTAGTATTTGTTTTGGAGTTTTTTCAATCATTTGTTTACTATTTTTATAATATTTGCCACAAAAATATAAACCATTTGTTGTCAGAAAATATGTGCCAATTTCACTACAACTCATTGCTTTCACATTAGTTATATTTGAAATCAATCGGGGTTTCAATACTTTATCATCGGTTTGTACACTTATAATGAGAAACCTGGAGTACCACTGATAATGTGAACCCAATCTAAAGTCCTTGTTATAACCCCAACTGTATACTTGTCCATCCGATGTGATGGCAAATGATGACCAATCGCAACAATAAATGGATTGTATTTTATATTTATTCCACCAATTGAACTGTATCTGAATGGGTGTATACATATCTCTACAATGTCCGCAACCTATTTGTCCCCAACTATTCAAACCCCAGGCGTAGACCCGGCCATCACTTGTAAGGGCCAATGTATGCCATTTACCACAACTGATTTGTGTTATATTTTTATCAACAAAATATGATATAATCTCTGGTTTATGATAAACCGCTTTTATTGCATTATTTGATTTTATATTACGTGCCAATTGTCCATGCTCATTACTCCCAAATGCATATATTGTATTCATATCATTTACTGCTAACACAAAATCACATCCATTAACAAAGTATTGTATGTTTTGATGACATAATTGTGGTATTATTAGTGGTGATGGTATAGGACTGTTGTGTCCAAAACCCAAACATCCAAAACTATTTTTGCCCAAACCATAGACCATATCATCAATTGTCACAAATAATACATTATATTTATTTTCAAAATCTTTAAAAACATGTAATCTTGTAATATTATCACTAATATATGTTGGAATTGTAAACTTATTTAATAATTCAAACATTTTTACGAAATTCAAAAATATTAATCAAAAATATAATTATAACATTTATTACACAAAATATAATAATAATACGTGATTATATTATAAAACATAAATATTATAAAACAAATGAAAAGAGTATTAAAATATATTAAATAAGACGACTTTATTCTGTTAATTATTTTTCTATTATTTTAGTTTAATTATATTATTATAAGTCATACATAACAGCATTTCAATACAACCTTTTGATAAGAATTGATATAATCAATGAAAACTATTGGAAACAAAATATTTATTACAAAATACGATATAAATACGATATTTTGTAATAAATAAACGATACGCCCTAAACCTAATTGATGGTCACCGGATAGTGTCAACGTTAGGTATCACACTTTCCTTTCCTCGACATCTGGTCACCCTATAACAGCAGTAATTAGTTTTAACTAAATTCACTTCTCTTTGACAATAATATTTTGATAATGTTGTCTATCGTTAACTCAATGTTTCAATTGAAAATATTTAAGTAAAATATTATTATTATAACAAATTATATACAAGTTTATTAATTAATTAATCAATTTAAATTATATTTTAACAAAATGTGGCACAAATACGAGAATTATCAAATTTAATTTTAAGAATTCATCCGGTAGATTACATTCAAAATTGAAATATAAATCATTTGATTTTTATTTAATTTACATATTAATTATCGGAAAAATAACATGACCAATTTAATTATTTAACAGTAACAGAATAACAGTCATCACATGAATTCTTTATGAGTGGCATTTTAGCAACAAAAGTCAGTTTTGAATCCAACTCTTCTCTAAATATATGGCCATCAAGGTAAATGGCTTTTGGAGGGTCAATTCGTTTCTTTTTATCATAATTATATAAGTTATTCCCCAAAACAATAGTCATAATTCTTGGACATACAGTAACCAACTGTTCCGCAAATGTCCACA